AGCTTGCTGATTCCTAGGGCTACCAGTGTTAGTCTAGTCCTCAGAAGGAATTTTGTAACTTCCAAACTTCAGGCTATTCTGTATTACACCTGACAAATGCATTTTTTTGGCAACAAAGTAGTCATTTCAGGGAATGAAAAATTGGCAGAAGTTTCTTCTGGCAACCAAAGGATATCCTTTTCCAAGGAAGAATTCCATGTGAGTCTTTCAGATTAATTATCTTAAGTTTTCCATTACTGCAACAGGTGAAGGCAGCTATAGATATACCAAGTATGTGGCTGTATTTTTGCTTTACGTATATGGATATTTAAGGTTTGTCATTTCCTCTTTCTGGTCCAGGACAGTCTAATGAATATCAAAAATCCTCACCTCTATTTAAATGGACTTATTTTAAATGTGTGTTACTATTTACATAATATGTCATACCAGAGTGGTGTCTGAGAATTTCCTCTTCAATGTAAATATTTCAGCACATTGATTACTGTATTTAATTTTTATTCATGCCTTACATAGAGTTATAATCAAATTGGTTTGAAATGTTTCTTGTAAAATCGCTGTATAAACTGTATTTCTTAAGTAGAAGCATGTATGAAAATAAACAGATTCATTATATATGTGTTTATGATAGTATAACAAATCCTTCACTGTTTTTAACATGATTATAGGACACTTACCAGGGAAATTTGGATTATATATCAAGTAATAAAGTTTCTGTAGACATCTAATAAACCAACTTGCAAACTAACACAATCTGATTCTCACCCCAAAATTTAAAAACTCTTTCAGGAATATATTAAATGAGGTTTATGGGTATTTAATTTTTTGTGTTTGTATCTTTTATATAAAGATCTTTTCTGAACTAGGTAGCTCCTGGTGAAAGTAACACAAAATTTGTTAAATCTTGATAGATATTGGTCCAAAAAATTAAAATATTGCATGATCCCAAGTTGCTAATTGTGCCCTTTCTCCTCTTACACCTCCTGCTCCTGATGCAGTAACTTCAGAGCTATCACCTTTCATAGGGAATTCAAGCAATGTCATAAAATGCTATATGATACCTTGTTTTTCTTCAGCACACTTGTCATTCACTTTGACAAAACTGAATGCACATTTATTTGAAATACAACAATCCAAATTAGTGGGGCCCAAGCTATGGCTTGCAGACCTACCTTGGTCTACCCGAATAATTTCACTGGTCATGGCTTGCTCCTTGCTAATACCATCCCCCACATCTTTGCAACTCACACTCTGTTTAACAGCAAAAATGTGTATTCCCAGCATGCGTTTACACCTCCCTTCCTTCAAGTGGATGTAAAGGAATCTATAGCAAGGAAGACTGCAGGCCAGATGGAGGCACTTTCAGTGAGCCTGCTATGGCTTAAGAATCATTACTCCTGACATAGATTAGTCAATACTGCACTTCCATCAAAGGATCTTCACAGTAATGCTGGCAGAAACTAAGAGATATCTAGAAGTACATTGGCGTTATGGTTCTTAATATCATTTTTGCTAAAAAACTCCTGCTTCTCCCTCCCAAAGAGAAATTCAGAAACAACTATGGCAAGTTTTCAGGAGCTTGAGAATTATTTTTGGTCCTGTTTTGTGGCCTAATGTATCCTGCTCCTCATCTTCAGGGTCCCTATTCAGTGTGGACCAGTTGCATGGACCTAAATGAGTCATGCCTTTCATTTCAGTAAGATGACTCACATGCTTAGATGGGTGTGTTTGCATGATAATAGTCCTTCAAATAAAAAATGAGACAGAAGAATCATAGCTTTAAAACACAAAATAGCATTTCTCAGTAGCTTGTGCCAGGACAAGGAAACAGCCTACCTCAGGCCTTGAAAAAACACCTGTCTGGCAAAAATTCTTCAATACCCACTACCATTTACATAATTGTGAGAGCATCTTTCTACAGAAACACCTTTTCTTGAAGCAGAACAGTACTCCAGCTGTGCCTCTCAGGTTTTACATGTATTCATCGAGAAAGACAGAACTTAAATATAAAGATAGATAAGAAATCAGCTCAGGTGATAGATGAGATAATGAAAATCTAAGTAATTAGATACGTCTAAGGAAGTAGAGGAACAGTATTAGTTGATAAAATGCAATAATTTAAACCCATATGAAATAACTTGTAATTTTTATTCCTATTACTTCAAATAATTTCCAAAAGTAACCAAAGTAACAGTTGTGCTTTTTAAAAGAACAGGCTAGGCAGCATTTGCTGCAAATTATTCACTAAATCAACTAATCTACCTGGGGAGAAAGGAAAAACAAACAAAAAGCACTATCTTTTTTGGAGAACAAAGTGTTTGTCCAGGAGCTGTGTGCTCAAGAGCTTGCCTAGTTTTTTAAGTGTAGTGATTAGAAAGATAACTGCTTGTCCCTACAGATCTTGCCCTGCTTATATCCTTGCAACTGCATCATCCATGGTACAGGAATATCCTATGATTCACTGACTAGTAAGTCTGAAAGGCAGACCGTTTTGTCCAGTATTTTGTCTAGCAATGTGCCAATTTGGCACATTTTCAAGGGTGTGTGAGGCTGTTTTTTTTCTCTTCAGATGGTCAGAGCGTGCTGGGAAGGCTCACAGGAGCCAGCTGACACTGCCTCTCATCTCTGTAGCTGTAGCTGCTGTGCATGAGGGAGCAGCTACCAGCTCCACCCAAGTCTTGCTGAATTCCTGTGGCCTCACTTGGATGTTTATCCAAAGATGCTCCATGACCATGGTCTGTGTCACTCAAAATCTGATTGTTTGCTGTCTTTCCTTCCTGGGCTATTGCTCCAGGGGACAGAAGAATGCTAGGATTAGCTATTTTAGGGAGCCCAGGTGATGGATAAGGTCAAAGAGTTTCAGCCTGTAGGGACTGGAAAAACATGTCCACTAATTAGTTAATTTTTTTTTTATAGGTTAGAGTGTAATAGCAAAACTGTCACTTAGATGGACCATTATGTTCTTCATACTCTCTTGTTGTCACTTTTCAAATACATTTTCTGTCATCATAAATACAGGACCCTGTATCTTTTAGAGTGAGAACCGGAAATTCATTCCAGCTCAGAGTACAAGGTTCTGCACTTTAAATACAGCAGCAGAGGGGCAGTGTAAAGCATGTAACTCTGTTAGACATTTCCACCCAGACTGTTTCCTGTTTTATAAAAGTAACTGCATTGAACAAAAATATACACAAGCTGAATCCACATCAAAGACATATGTGCTCTTAGTATAGAGCCAGAAATCAATATTTATTATTATTATTAATATTAGAAGAACTTCATGTTCTTCTACTGAAGTTCCAGCTGCTCTGTTTGCTGAAATGTAGAAGCATGCCCATGATCCTCTAGAAGCTCTAGTGCAGGGATTTCTTGATGTTATTATTATTATAATTCTGGATGCCTGTGTTTGCATCATAAGCAAAGACTGCATACAAAATCAAATGCTCATATTCAGATACAGGTAACAGCAAGAAAGTAGGTTATGCCGGAGACATTTATCTGCAATTTCCTTGCTGTACAGAGTTCCCCAGGATTATTTTATTCTGCTATTGGCTCTCAAAAATACCTGTCATTTTCTTAGGCTGATTTGTTAGATTGCCCAGATTATATTGTTTCTACCATTGTATTTTGCAAGTGCATAATTGCAGTTTTTAAACTACAAGTTTTTAAGATACGTTCTTCATTTTGAGATGTTTGTTTGCTTCTAATCGCCCTTTAACCTTCACAACCTACACGTATTCTCGTTTTACATACGCTTGCAGATTTCCCAGCAGGCGAATATAACTCCACTGGAGCACGTTGTGTGTACAAGCGTTTTAAAGAAAACAAACCCTTTCAGCACCTTGCCATTAGTAACGCCAGAGCAAAAGTGACTACGAAGCTATCGAGCCTCAGCGAGGCTCCCAAGAAAACACCCCTCTAAATGGGACCCTCACTGTATGTCCAGGCTGTTTCTTTCTTTTCTAGCAGTGACTCAAAATTCAACCTCAAACCGTCCCAAAGTGGATCCGAGCGTGCGGGCATGTGAGCCACGCTGAGCTGGCGGGGAGGAGCCGCGGAGCCCGGGCGCATCGCCTGTCGCCCCTCGGCTCAAACCCCGGACACTGGCCGGGAGAGGCGCGTCTCGCTGCTGGACACGGAAAGCCGGGCTGTTTGCGGTACAAAGCCCTCCGTAAGAGAGGGAGAGCGCCGACATGTCAAGGGAGAGCAATTGTAACAGCAGAGTCAGCGATGCTTGAACCCCGCGCTCCCCTGACGGAAAACAACCCGCTTTCCAGCACGGCTCCTCCAAACCCTGCGGGTTACGGCTCTGCCGGGAATGCGGGCTGCCGGCACCGCTGGGGGTGTGGGCACGGGCAGCTCTGAGGGGAGCAGCGCTGCTCAGCCCTCGGGCGAGGCGGGCGGCGGGGCCCCGCTGGGGCACACCCGGCCGGCGCGGCGCTCCCGGGGCGGGGCGGGAGGCGGAGCCTCGGCGCAGCGGCCGAGCCCCGCAGCGGGGCCGGGCGCTGCTGCTGCCGGAGCCTCGCCGGCCTCCTCCCTCTCGGGGTTGCCACATCGGCACCGCCGTTCCGAGAAGGCGCTTCCCGGCGCGGAGCGGGAGCCCAGCGCGGGGAGATGGAGCCCCGCTGCTGCCGCCGCCGCCGCTGCCGCCGCCCCCCGGGACTCGCGCTCCGCCA